CCCCCTCGTGGACACCCCTCTGCTGCTGCAGTTCTACCTGTGTGCGGTGCAGAGCTGCACGGAGGCTGCTGTCCCCGTCCACTACAAGCACACCGTCTTCGCCTTCCTCACCTGCTTCATCTTCGCCAGCCACCTGCCAGAGAGGCTTTCGCCCGGGCACCTATATCGGTGAGTGCCAGTGGGACGAGCTGGTGGTGTTTGCTCATTATTTTCATGCATGAGGTTATCATATATCCTCTGCTGGAAATCCAAAATGTAGTTTTCCATACAAGACGCAGCAGTCCTGCCTAAGTAAAGTGGGACCGGCTCTGGAACCCTGCCATTGCCAAAATGTTTCCCAGAGGGTTTCATGATCACAAGGCACTCATTTCTCATGCAAAAAAAAAAAAAACAGCAGTGCTTCACAGTGCCACAGCAGCACACTGCCGGAGCAGCCGGCCAGCAGCCCAGGTGGCAGCGCTGGTGCATCGGGGTGCTGATGCATCGGGGTGCTGGTGCACCGGGGTTTTCCCCACTCCCCCCGATGCCGTGCACAAACACGATGCTCCTGAGCACGCCGCGTTTGCCGGGATCTCAGCAGCCAGCTGCACTTCCATTGCATCCGTTCCAGCCGGCTGCATTTTGCAGATCTCTGTGCTCCAGTGGCATCACAGTAAAAGCCACAGAAATGAGCAGAATCAATATTTAAAAATGCAATGCCCGGAGGCAATGGATGCTCTGCAGAAGGTCTGCTGCACCCTCACGGTGGAGTTTTAATGAAGCCCAAGGAGTTTCTCGGTGAGTGCTTTTGGCGTTGTTGCAGGGCACAGCCACCAAGTCTTCCACGTCTGCGGGATCCTCGGCACGTACTTCCAGCTGGAGGCCATCACCGTGGACATGGCCGAGCGCCGCGGCCACCTCCTGTCCCCCTCATCACCTCCCTCCCCGCTGCAGACGCTGGGCTCCATGGGCATAGGTGTGGCCACGAGCCTGGCCGTCATCGGGCTCTGTGCTGCGTCCCTGCGCTTCATGCCCGAGCCTCTGCAGAGAGAAAAACCACATGGGCAGTAGGCTCCGAGTCCAGAGATATTTCTGCTGCTCCGCGGGACAGACCCTGAGCAACACGTGTGTGGTATGGACAGGGAGGTCATTCGCCCACGCTCGCTGAGAAAATGTTTATTCAAACTTTTCCCAAGAGCGGAACATATTGCACTGGGTTTTGTACATACAGCTTTAAAGCTGGGAACAGATTCTGAAACGCTTTTAATCAAGTTGCTATTTTACTACAAGGAATATTTAAAATAATCTTAACAGGGAGATTTTAACTTTTTCCTGTAAAAGGGAGATAAGTGCTATTACTTTCCACAGCAACAGGCATTCACCAGCTCTGCCTTAGGGAGGAAAGCAGGGGGGCAAGGGGATGTGGTCATCTGGTGGACACGGATGTCCCCTTGTCATCAGTGCAGACCGACAGCTGAGGCTCCTCAGTGAAGGCACAAGCCAGGGCTCTCCCAGGGCTCCCTAAGGTTTTCACCTTGAAAGTGGCATTACATTGGAGATTAAAACCTCAAATATCCGTGTTTTACAGCCTTACGCTAAACCCAAGTGCCTGACAGTCTGCCGAGGTTTAAAATTCAGCTGTTTGCAATCATGACCCAGAGAGAGTTCCTCCAGAAGAACTCTCCATGGGACGCTCCTCCAGAACAGCTTTTTTTTTTTTTTTGGTCCAATTCTGGTGCTTAGGTAAGTCCTGGGAAATCAAATCCCATGGGGGAGCTGAGCTGCTGCCTGTGCGGGCGATGTGACAGGGCAGGGGAGGCACCTCCGTGCTGCTCTCAGCCGGGCTCCTGCTCCAGCCTCATTTGTGGCACTGAATGTAAACGGAGGAATAAATCCCTGCACCCACGAGGTGACGGCACCACCTCCTTCCAGGGACTGGTTTGTGCCGAGGGTTTAATGCGGGGGTAAAGCCGCGCGATTCAGAAAAGGGGTTTGACACCTTGTTGGGGGTGATGGCTGAGAAATTCACGCCTGTCCCACCCTCTCCTGGGTGTTTCTGGGAGCAGGATCCTGGGCTGGACAGACCCTCGCTCTGAGGGTGGGACTGATGGCAGAGCCACCACCTCTAGTTTCTGGTCCTGCTCGTACCAGAAGAGTGAACAGGATGGGGGTGTCTGGGGAGAGCAAACAGAGCAAGAAGTGGGAGAGTGTGGGGACATGAGCGGGGTCAGCTGGAAGCAGGATTTGGAGCAGCTGAGCTGGGAACGCACGAGGGGCCAAACCCGTGTCGTCTCACAGCATTTCCAGAGCTCGACCTCTGCTCACCAGTGATAGCCCCATGCTCCGGCTGCAGCTCCTCGCTTTCCTTGGGTGCTGCAGCTGGGTTTCCCAAGAAGAAGCTGAGCCCAAGGGGGAGGCAGCTGGCGGGGAGAGCTCGGCTGGTGGCTCCGGCGACGGAGGTTGTCACGTCGGATTGACCCAGGTACAGGAACATGATGCAGAGATTACTGCGAGGGAATATTATCAAGGTTCTTGATAATCATACGGGTGTATAATTTGTTTTGTGTATAATTACCTCTATCAAGGTATAATTGATGCACTTTTGAGTGACAATACAATGGCTCGTTAAAGATATTACGGGACAAATACGTCTTTTGAGAAATAGCTTTCTTTTGAAAGCTGAACAAGATTTATGTTAATATTTATAAGCACTGGAACATAATTGTTTATTCAACAGTTTTATTTCATTAAAAGAGAAAACTAATATAACTACTGCACAGATATATGCTAACCTGATTTGTATTTTGCATAAAAATACCGTCTGTGAAAATGAATCACTGCAGAGATAATTGCTGATAATTGCAGAGCTTATTTACCTTGTGTACTCGTGTGGCTGGAAAGGAATCTGGCTCTGTGTGCAAGACATGATTTAAGAGTCTGTAAAATTTCCATGAATCTTTATACATTTTTTCCTGGTTGCTTAAGCTTTTGAATTTGGGAACTCCTCCCTTCCTCTTCAAGTGAAATTATTTGCTGGAAAACCACATAAAAAAAATAACAACGTATTAGACACCACCATAATCCCTCGGGATCCTGCAGCGACCCCTTGTCGGGTACATACTTTACATACTAAACGAGTGACTGTTCGCTCTTGAAGCAGCACAGGTCAGCCAGATTTCTTGTTCAGTTGGAGACAGGCCTTCAAAAAGTGATTCAATGTACTAAATTTTATTCGCATAAAGAAATAAAAGCAATGTGTCAAATTGTTACGAGCAGATAACACAGGATGTTTATTTGCTGGACCATCTTGTTTCGTTGTGTGCCTGTACCCAGTTCAGAGCAAATCGCAAGCAAAACTATTATCTTTACGACCAAATTCCAGAGAACATCACTCATCTGCTCCTCAGACGAGGAGGTTTGACTGTGCTGATGAACCAAGCAGATAGAGCCAATTTTTTAGGTCTATCGAGTTCCGTTGGGTTAAGGTGAAAGGTGAATCTAATATTCCCGAATAAGCGTGAGCGAAGTTTTCTGCCGCACGTGCAGCTGCAGCTTTTACCCATTATCTCCCAGGGCTTTGGGAGTTCAGTCCCATTTTTCGGGCGGCAGCCCCATCTCAACAGTTTTAGGGTGCAGGGCGAGGACGGTCGTGGCTTGCAGGGTGCTCCGTGACGATGGAGCTGCACGCGAGGCTCCGGTTCTGCTCCCCGGGAGGTCCGTTCAGTTCTGACCGTTCGTATCCTCGAGGTGTGTTGCGAGAACATTAAGGAATTAATCTGTCTCCATGTATTTTAAAACACTGGTTAAGAAGCGCTTGCCCAGGACACTGGCTTCTTCTGATAGCGATCACAGTAAACAGACAGCTTGTTGGGATTTCTTTGGATTTTATTTTTTTTCTATTTCTTCTTTCCCCTGTAAGAGGGTAAGCTGACTTGATTAATTTGCACTAAAACTGAGAATCGTCTGGAGCCTGTGGTTTAAGTGAGATCGAGTTCAACCCTTCGGGGGCCTTCAGAGCTGCTGACCCGGGTTAAACCCCAGGTTCCTCCATCCGTTACCCCATTTCCCCATTTTAATTGGAAGCCCAGTGCCTTGTCTGGCCGGGATTTTCACGGCTTGTCCTTCTTTCACACGTCAGGCTTTGTTTTCCACCATGAAGTACATCCTAGAGGCTGGAATTAACGGTTTTTCCTGCAGGCAGGCAGCGGCTGGCAGCCCTGGCAGGCAGCACTGGCTGGATCTCACCTCTTTTCCCAACCCAGCC